GCATGCAGTTACAAACACGCTGAAACACTCACAGACAGTGGAAATGAAACCAGACAGACAAAAAGGAAGGGAAGCAGAAACCACGTTGGCAACTGGGTTATCGGGAAGTGTTACCAGGCCCATCAGATTCCCCGGTACATGACTCTGGATTAGGGACTGAGAAAAATGTCACCATCCTTCCTCCTGGGGGGTGGAGTGATGAGCCCGCCAGGGCTCCAGGATAAAGGGGCAGGATCTGATCACTCACTTCTCTCCCTCTCTCTCTCTCTGGTGTTTAGGAAGACTCCATAAAGCCCTCAGTAAGTTCGGCTTCTCCTCTGTGGCACAAACTTCCCTCCGCTGACACCTTTGTTAGGATGAGTATCTGAGTTCCACTTCCTGGGACACAAGGGAGGGGACAAGGGTAATTAAAGCCATGGAGATTGGGGATTTCTTGGCTCTCCATGGCCTCTTTTCTCAAGTATGTCCTCCTCCTCTTTCTTATATGACTGTTATTTAGTCTCTAAATGGGAGATGTTTTACCAAGAATAGATGTATCTCCCATAGGTGAAGCCATCTGGAAGTTCCTTTTATTACCCAGGCATGACATTTCCATAGGTGGGGTCCATGATGGATGGATCATCATTAAACTGAATACACTGGAGCAGTGCTTCTCTACCATTTCTTGTCTGAAAACATTAAAAAATAACCCTGCAGACATCTGACATATCTATTTTATTTTACATTGAGAAAATACACATGGTAACAAAAATCTAATAGAGACTCAGTTTTAATTTTTTTTATTTATTTTTAAAGTACAGACAGAGTCTCGCTCTTGCTAAGGCTGGTCTCGAACTTCTGATCTCAAGTGATCCTCCTGCTTCAGCCTCCCAGAGTGCTAAGATTAGAGGCATGAGCCACTGTGCCCAGCCAGAGACTCAGTTTTAAATGAACTTATATATACATATATATATATATTTTTTTTTTTCTTGAGACAGAGTCTTACTCTGTTGCCTGGGCTAGAGTGCCGTGGCATCAGCCTAGATCACAGCAACCTCAACTTCCTGGGCTCAAGCAATCCTCCTGCCTCAGCCTCCTGAGTAGCTAGGACTACAGGCATGTGCCACCGTGCCTGGCTAATTTTTTCTATTTTTAGTTGTTTGGCTAATTTCTTTCTATATATAGTAGAGACAGGGTCTCGCTCTTGCTCAGGCTGGCCTCAAACTCCTGAGCTCAAGCAATCCTCCTGCCTCGGCCTCCCAAAGTGCTAGGATTACAGGCGTGAGCCACCCGCACCCAGCCAAAATGAACTTATATTTTATTCTTCTCTCATATACATACATTTACATTCATTACCCATAGGTGTGAGATGTCTCCTTTATTCAGTCTGCCTAAGGTTGGGCTCACATAGGAATTGGCTGATTCTCTGCAGTAGTGCTGAGGACCATGCCCTACAGCTGGGAGCTATTGCCTTTGCAAACACTCTTATGGGGATGTTCTGGGGGATGGCAATTGAGGATCTGCTCTGGGAACGTGTTTGGGATGGGACTGTATCACTGTGGGAATGTAGAAGCCCTTGTTCTGATCTGCCAAACTTTCTTATTCTTTAGAGAAACTCCGGAGTGAACTAAGTAAGTTTCCCATGTTCTTATAACTTCCATACCAACTTGTCTCCTGTTGTCCTGATATTTCCAGTGATAGTTCATCTCCCTTCTTTCTTCTTTCATAGGGTTGAAAAGAGCTGCAGCAAACTCAGGTGAGATGCACTTTCCCCATGTTTGATCCCCACCCTCTGGGATTTCTCCAGTGCTTTAACAATCAGTCCCTTCTATGTCTTGCAGGCTGGAGAAGAGCCCGGTTGCATTTTGGTAAGTTACACCAATCCAATAGATCTCAGAGGTCATCCTCCTAAGGCTTTGTAACCTTAGACTGTGCTCCATTCCTTTGAAATGCAAACTGTAATTACTTTTATTGTTATCAAATCTGTTTATGGTTTGATCAAATATTTAAAAATCTTTGTGATCTTTCTTTTGGGCACAGATTTAGAAAGTCTTCTCTCTTTTAGAGCACAGATAAATATTAGGTTTGCCCTTATTATGGGTTTTTCTATGATTTTTAAGATTTTTCTTAAGTTTATCAGTTATTTGTATTTCTTTGTGACTCTTCTGTTCCTGTCCTATTTGGGCTACTTTTTGACTTTCGAGGATTCTTTCTAGATAAAGTATATTAACTCTTTGTCATATTTGTCACCACTCATTTTTCATTTGCATTTTAATTTCTTTATAGTATTTTTCTAATGCATGAGTGTTTTATTTTTATATAGTCTAATTCATTAATCTTTTCCTATGTAGCCTCTTCCATGCTCTCAGGTTTGGGAAGTTCTTCCTGTCACATCTGTCCCATCTTCCTGTCCTATCTGTCACAATCAGATAAATAGCCACTGCTTCTGCCTCTTTCCACACACATGCCACTTTTTTTTTTCTCTACAGACCAATTTTTTGGGGGGATGGTGACTGAGATTCTCAGAGAAGGGAATGGGTTGGGCAGATGCCCCAATAATATACACTACAAAAAAGTTTCATAGTTTTATTGTAAAAAGATTTGCACATGTCTCTTTTTAATTTATTTCTAAATAGTTTGCATTTTTTGCTCCTGTTCCAATGGGATCCATTGTTTTCACTGCTTTGGGACCCTTTTCAATATTGGAGGCTCTTTATTCCCAGCCGTTCATACTATCTTCCTTCAGGCAGAGTACAAGAAAATCGATGACTTGGCCACTTGAGAAAGCACCAGGTCACCTTGGTTGGCATTCTGGGAACTCACAAACCCTTCTGTCTCACATTCACAGCCTGGCTTACTGCCACCACTTCAACCAAGGATAGTTTCATGGATATAATGCTCCAAGAAGAGCCTGTTTCCCATATTCACCTTGGTTGGCATTCTGGGAACTCACAAACCCTTCTGTCTCACATTCACAGCCTGGCTTACTGCCACCACTTCAACCAAGGATGGTTTCATGGATATAATGCTCCAAGAAGAGCCTGTTTCCCATATTTGGGGGTGGAGGGACACTCACTGTGACACCCACAATCCACAGTGTTAAGGAAGAATCTTCTCTATAACAACATTTAAAAATGATAATTATAAGCAATAATTTTTGATAACAAAATAAGCATCATGCACTCACTGTAACAATGAGGCACTATCTCATGCATTATTTCATCAAGTCTGCACAATACCTCTACAACATATGTTCTGTTATTACCCTCATTTTACAGATGAGGAAACTAAGGCCTAGGGATGAATAACAAGCCCAAGGCTATGTAACTAGCATGTGGCAGAGCTGGGACTCAAACATCCTATGCAGCTGCAGGGTCTAACATCAAAGCCCGTGTTTATCATCATATATCAGATTCCTTTGGAACGTTGCAGACAGAGGTAATGTCTTAGTCCATTTTCTGTTGCTAGAACAGAATACCTAAGATTGGGTAATTTATAAAGGAAAGAAGTTTATTTAGCTCACAGTTCTGGAGGATAGCAGATCCAAGATGGGGTGGCTATATCTGGTGAGGGCCTCATGTTGCTTCATGAAAAGCAGAAGGGCAAGCAAGTGCATGCAAAGAGAGAGGAGACAGAGCAGGGCAACCTGCTTTGGTATGGCCCACTCTCAATAAAACAACCCAGTCCTGAGAGAACTGCATTAATCCGTTCGTGAAGGTGGGGCCCCCATGACCCAAACACCTCCCAACACTACCTCACTGAGGAATTAAGATTCCAACACATGACCTTTTGGGGGACATACTCAAACCATAGCAGGTAGGATTTCCCAAAGATTAAGGCAGCTTCATAGACAGATGAAAAAGAACTTCTTTTACTTAGTACCCCACTAGGAGACCTAGTCTTTGAAAGACACGAGGAATCATTTGGTTCCAGTGCATATGTTGGGGGAGACCCATTAACTAAAATGGGCCAATAACAGTGATTGCAGACCTAAAGATTATTTTTCCCTCCAAAACTACTCAGAGATCCCTTAAGACCTAGCATTCCCAAAACTCACCTCTCTGTGGCTCTCTGCAGTGGTTGTGACCCTGGACCCGGACACAGCGCACCCCAAACTCATCCTGTCTGAGGACCGGAAATGTGTGAGGCTTGGAGACAGAAGGCAGCCTGTGCCTGACAACCCCGAGAGATTTGATTTCGTCGTCAGCGTCCTGGGCACAGAGTACTTTACGGCTGGCTGTCACTACTGGGAGGTGTACGTGGGAGACAAGACCAAGTGGATCCTTGGGGTGTGCAGTGAGTCAGTGAGCAGGAAGGGGAAGGTCACCGCCTCGCCCGCCAATGGACACTGGCTTGTGCGACAGAGTGATGGGAATAAGCATGAAGCTCTCACATCCCCACAGATCTCCTTTCGCCTTAAAGAGCCTCCTCAGTGTGTTGGGGTTTTCCTGGACTATGAAGCAGGAGTCATCTCTTTCTACAATGTGACTGACAAGTCCCACATCTTTACTTTCACTGACAGTTTCTCTGGCCCCCTTCGCCCTTTCTTTGAACCTTGTCTACATGATGGAGGGAAAAACACAGCACCTCTAGTCATTTGTTCAGAACTACAGAAATCCAAGGAATCAGTTGTCCCCAAGCCAGAAGGAAAACGCCACGCTAATGGAGATGTGTCCCTGAAGGTGAACCCTTCCTTACTACCTGCTCCGGACATGGAGCTTTTCTCACTCAGGGACATGACCCTGTCCTTGCCCTCTGATCTTGGCCCAGCCCTTCAGGGGCTCAAGGTTCCTTCTTTTTAGGGATGCGCTCTGTTACCTGCTCCCATGACCATCCAGCCCACTGCTCTGGATTTCAGTGTCCTGGCCCAACCCAAATCCTGACCCTTTTGTGGTTTCTCTTTGTACCACTTTTCTCCCAGGGCTCAGTTCTGAACCCTGCCTTTCTTCCAGGGACTTGAAGTTCCCATCAATTTGGAGGGAGAATTCCTAAAAACCATGCAAGCAGTATAGGTTCAGGTGGACATGCTCAATGTGTGTCCCTGAGATACAGCATAGCTTCAGGGGAAAGGCTTCTCTACTCCAGGGGATATTTAGAAGAACTTTTCTCTGCCTTATCCTGCCCTCAGGCTTCCCATCCTGGAGTTATGGCCCCTAGTCCCTGACTTCTTACTTTTAAGCTCTTAAAGATTGCTTTTGTCTCTTCTTTTTCTCAGTTCAGGCCTCTGGCCCCCAAAGTCAGCTTTCTAAAAGTAAATACTTTTGGATCACATGCTCTTCATTCTTTCTTCAGGAATGGGGGTGGAGAGGCAGAGAGGCAGAGGCAGACAGGCAGAGAAGTAAAATATGCCATCCCTTTCTATTTTCTTTTCTTTTTTTTGAGTCTTGCTGTCACCCTGGCTGGAGTGCAGTGGTGGGATCATAGTTCACTGCAACCTCAAATGCCTGGGCTCAAGTGACCTCCTGCCTCAGCCTCCCAAATAGCTGGGACTACAGGCTTGCGCTACCACACCTGGCTAATTTTTCTATTTTGAGTAGAGACGGGGGTCTCACTTTTTCTCAGGCTGGTCTTGAACTCCTGATCTCAAGCAATCTTGGCCTTCCAGTGTACTAGGACTACAGGTATGAGCTGCTGTGCCAAGGCCCTTTTCTATTTTCTTGATGCTATTTACAACATAATTTGGTGACATCCAGAGCTAATCGTACATGTTTTCAAAAGTTAATCAACCTATTGATGATAACTAGGCACAGGAACTGAAAACACAGTAGTGTAATTCTAAAGCCCTCAGGAGCACAGTCAGGGAGCTGGGAAGCACAGCTGTAAACAAAGAGCTCAGCTGTGTGTGGCCTTGAAAAGAGAGTGCAGATGAGTTAGTCTGTTGTGCTGGCCCTTTTGAATACCTTCCTGAGATTTGGAGAGGCCCAACTAGAAACAGTGGCATTTTTAACCACCATTGTACAAGCTATTCCCTCCACAAGACCATTGTATCAAAAGACTGGGTTTGTGTAACAAACAGCCTCTTAGGTTAGAGAACATTGATTTCAAATAAGAAGTTGGTAGGCCATGTGTGAGGATAAAATAATGAACCTGATTTTTGGGTGTGGATTGCAGAAAGAAGCCTAGTCACTTTCAAGTTACACCACATATGTGATCTGTCCTGTTTGTGGAGATATTGACTATGTGTGCGCAGATGGGTATACAATTCTACCCAACAGAAATTGGACATTTCTGTTGTTAGAAGTTCTCTCTGTTAGTACCTGTATTAGGGTTCTCCAAAGAAACAGAACCAATATGAGGTGATATATATATATATATATATATATATATATATATATATATATGAGAGAGATTTTGATTAATTTATTATAAGGAATTGGCTCACATGATTATGGAGTTGGCAGGTCCCAAGATCTGCAGGGTAAGTCAGCAAGCAGGTGTCCCAGGAGAGCTGATGGTGTAGTTCTAGTCTGAAGGCAGCAGGCTTGAGACTTTGGAAGAGCTGATGTTTCAGTTTGAGCCTGAAGGCATGAAAATAGCTTATGTACCAATCCAAAGTCTGGCCCGGAGGAAGAATTCTCTCTTAGTTGGGGGAGTGTCAGTGTTTGTGTTCTATTGAGACCTTCAACTGATTGGATGAGGGCCATCTACATTAGAGAGGGCACTGTGCCTTATTCATTCAGTCTACTGATTTAAATGTTAATCTCATCCAAATACGCCATCACAGACACACCCAAGAATAATGTTTGACCAAATATCTGGGTTTCTTGTGGTCCAGTCAAGTGGATACATAAAATTAACCATCACAGTGGCTGAGTAAATTTTTTGTTTGGTTTTGTACAGTTTTAAAATAAAAGTTTGATATTCATTGTTTGGTATGCTGTTATTTTCACTGTGAATGAAAAGTTTCAGGGAAAGGCTTTGAGCTGCTAACAGAAAAAACACATTATGGGATTGATTTCCAAACAGCTTTGAGTTCATTCAAGCAAGCTTTAACCACAGCTCATAAAAGCCATCGTTTTATTCCTGTTTGCCCTGTAGTATTTTTTTCTTATTTCTAAATCAATTTATACACTAATAGTGTTCATTAGGTATTTATATTTCACTCACCCATATTCAGTTCTAAACACACTTTTCTGAATATTACAATCTTAAAACTAACTCACATTGTCCACACTGGCCCTACGCAATGAGAGAATTTACCCTACCAGCCGGAAAGAGAACTTACATTTCCGGAGGCAGAAGATACATATATCTCCCTTCCAGTTCTACACTCCTTTGATTTTAAACTGTAAACTAGAGTGAGGTGCCAGACACTGAGCTTCGCTGAATAACTACAGAACCTGTCAGGGGTCACTAATTTTACTTTGAGTTCATGACCACTTGGAGGTCATGTAGGTTTGCTATACCAACTTTACAACTTCCCAGACAGGTGACCCTGTGCCATTGGCTTGAACACTCGAGCACAGAAGAAAATCCGACAACCTTAGGAGGGAACCTAATGTCTACACCTGGGTTCTAAACTTCGCAATTGTTTTCTCGGAGTCTATCAGGACTACAACTCCCAGCATGCCACGTCCAAAGCCTAAGCTTATTGGCGGTCCCGTCTGGGTCTCTTGCGCTGTGGCAGTCACTACAGCCAATGGGAAGGAAGGATAATCACCAGAAACCAATCCTGGGGAAGTAGGGCGGATCTTTCTTGGGTTCCGGCTCCGGCTCCTACCCCCGCCGACCGAGGCGGCGCTGTACCTGACCGAGCGGCGGGAGCGAGGTGGGTCCTGTTTGGGCCTGAGGTTATAGGGAGGCGAACTCGACTTCGCGGGGAACTCCGAGCACCGCACCTTTCCTCTCACCGAGGAGTTGAAGGCTGCTGCTTTGCTCCCCAGACCCAGTGGTAGGCAAAGGGTCCCTGTGGTCCCTCCGCTCTGACCCCTGTCCCCAGGCCCGCGCGACCAGGCTGCTGTCCCCCGCTCCCACCCACGCCTCCCGGCCAGTCTCCTGTTGGCCTTTGAGTACTCCGCCCCTCGCCCCCGCTACTGACCGTACGTGAGGGGTTACCAGCCCCTCCTCCTCTCCCACCCCTCCTCCTCTCCCACCCCTTTGGCCCCAAGCCCACTGGTCTCCCTGAACCCAGCTCCTGCCCTCCAGAACGCTGTACCATTGGATTCCGCCATTAGCTTCTTGTTGTCCCACAACACACAACCCAGCCTCTTGGGCCCGATTCTCTGACACCTCTGATGGCAGCCTTTGCCCCTTCTCCCCTACCTTCGCCTCAGACCCTCTGACTCTTTTAGTCCTTCTCTATCTCTGACCCGTTATTTAGCTCCGCTGTGAGTCCCTGTTCTTGAGCACCTTGTCCTTGTTCTTTCTAAGCTCCTCTCTCCACTTCTTCCCCTCACTTCTCGACCCTGAACTTTGGTCCCTTGGACGACATTCTAGCTTGGCCTCCTCCTTCTAACCCAGGCCCTTTGCCTTCATCATCTGTAATCACCAGCCCCATCTTCTTGGCTCTTACTTCTTAGACCTGGCCCCTTCTCCACTGTCTCAACAACCCCTTCCACCCAATCTGCTGTGCCTCTAGGAAGACAAGCTCCATAGGCCCCTTTCACCCTTAACTTTCTGAAATATGGCCTGAAAGTGACTTTAGCTGCACTGTCTTCTCAGTAGGTTGTGGGCTCCCTATCTCTGCAAGTACCAGCCTTGCTCACCCATCCTGCAAGTCCTCACTCAAGCCCCATCTCTTCCACGAAGCTACTCATCCCTCATCTTGTCAGGGGACTATGCCTGTGTCATCTGAACTCCCTTGGCACTGTTTTATTTCTTTCTTTCCTTCCTTCCCTCCTTTTTTTGCTCCGATACTAGTGTAATGGTTAAAAGCCATTGGCTTTGGAGTGATGGGCATAGGCCTCAGTTCTGCCACTTATTTGCTGTGTGCCCTTGGGTAAGTTACTTAAATTCTGTGAGCCTCAGTTTTCTCATCTCTAAAATAAGGATGCTATGAAATGAAATGAGATGATTATATGGCTCTTATTCCATGGCCTAGCACTTCGTATGAGCTTCAAAAAATGTTAAATATTATTGCTTTCTGTGTAATGTTCCAGATACTGTGCTAGGCACTGAGGAGAGGGAGGATACAGAGGTGACTAAGGCACTGGTCCCCTGGAACTTAACCTTCTGCACTATATGACAGTCTATTTCACTACATTCATAAACTGCTTGAGGGTGTAATCATAATCCTAAATCATTTTGCTCTTATATTGATCCAGCATTCAGCCCTTGGTAGAGCTAGAGCTTGATAAGAATAGCAGTGTTGGAAGTGAGTGGAGGCTTTGTAGCTCATTGCGTAGAGATACTGGAGCCCTACATGGGGTGGGCGGTGGTGGGGAGTGAATTAAGATTACATCTGTTAACTCATTCATTCAAAAGACATTTGAGGGCTGGTTGTGGTGGCTCACGCCTCTAATCCTAGCACTCTAGGAGGCCGAGGCGGGAGGATCGTTTGAGCTCAGGAGTTTGAGACCAGCCTGAGCAAGCGCGAGACCCCAGTCTCTACCTAAAAAATAGAAAGAAATTAGATAGACAACTAAAAAAAATACACACACACACACACATATATATAAAGTTAGCTGGGCATGGTGACGCATGCCTGTAGTCCCAGCTACTCGGGAGGCTGAGGCAGAAGGATTGCTTGAGCCCAGGAGTTTGAGGTTGCTGTGAGCTAGGCTGATGCCACGGCACTCTAGCCTGGGCAACAGAGCAAGACTGTCTCAAAAAAAAATTTTTTTTTTGAGCACCCAGCCTTGTGCTGCAGAATAGATGACTAAAATAACCCAGTCCCTTTGCTCAAGTTGCATATAAATTACCAGTGGAAACAGACATGCAAACAGGTAATTGCAAATCACTGTAAAAGCAAACACAATTCTGTGGGTGCATAAAGGAGAAAGTGGGCAGCAATCAGGAGATTGCTGAGGAACAGTGGGCGAGAATAGACACAAGTAAGCGTGGAATGGGTTCTGGAGACAGGTCTGTCCTTCCTCTATTCAACTCATTCAACAAATACTTTTAAGGATCTACTATATATGCCTGCCACTACTCTAGAGAGTTTGGGTTACATTAGTGAATAAAACAAAACAAAGATCTGAGCCTTCATAGAACTTATGTTTTAGCAGGGGAGGTAGACAATAAATAAATAATAGACATAGATAAATAGACTGTCAAAGATGAGATGTGCTAGGTGATAGGAGGACTGGAGTATGTTAAGGGCTTGTAAGTTTTAAAAGGATGGTCAGAGAAGAGTGAATTTAAGTATGAAGGAATAAATAGTTTCTGATGTTTACTTGCATTTTTGAAAGTGAAGCAAGCCTATTATTTTTCATATTACTTATTTGAATTCTTCAGAAACACTAACAAGGGCTAGTAATCTACAGCTCACCTCCTGTGTTTTAAATAAAGTTTTATTGGAACACAGCCATACTCATTCCCTTATGTCTTGTTTATGGCTGCTTTCATGAGACAATGGCAGGCTTGAGTAGTTACAACAGAGATTTATGGCCCTAAATATTTGCCAAATATTCATTATCTGGCCTTTTACAGGAAAAAGTTGCTGACCTCTGCTCCTTAAAGAGTTGCGGTTCTGTCTGTATTTCACATTTTAGAAGATTGTATATAATCTTGTACTATTTATTTTATTTTATTTTTTATTTTTTTAATTTTTTTGAGACAGAGTCTCACTTTGTTGCCCAGGCTAGAGTGAGTGCCGTGGCGTCAGCCTAGCTCACAGCAACCTCAAACTACTGGGCTCAAGCAATCCTGCTGCCTCAGCCTCCCGAGTAGCTGGGACTACAGGCATGTGCCACCATGCCTGGCTAATTTTTTTTCTATATATATATTAGTTAACCAATTGATTTCTTTTTATTTATAGTAGAGATGGGATCTTGCTCTTGCTCAGGCTGGTTTCGAACTCCTGACCTCGAGCAATCAGCCCGCCTCAGCCTTCCAGAGTGCTAGGATTACAGGCGTGAGCCACCGCGCCTGGCCAATCTTGTACTATTTTTTAATTGAAACATTTTTTTCTTTCCTAACAAGATCACTTAAAAGATCTTTTTCATTCTTGTATTCTTCACAGGGCCTGACATAGTGTCTGCACAATTGTGATAGCACCTGCCATTTGCCGAATATTTGCTGAATGGCCAGCATGTGTCACACACTCTGCTGAGGATTACAGGCCTTTCCTCTCATACAGAATCCCACAGTGAGGGCAGGAATCATAATTAGTGATGAGGGAGTTGAGGCTCAGAGTGGCTGAATAATTTGCAGAGAGTTATATGTGTCACCGTTGTAATCCAGCCATGAATGGAGTCAGTACCGCTTCCTTCATTCTGTGTTGACTTGAAGGAATTATCAGTCTTTCATTTTCTGTCCTCGTATCCTATCATAGTTTGTGCTTCCCTCCCTCATCCCTTTGTTCATGTCACTGTGGACAGCATCTCCATCAGTCCGCTCTGCCTTTTGAAATGTTATTATTTCTTCAAGGCCCAGAGGAAATGCCACCATTCTTGTCTTATCAGAAGTACTTTTTTCTTCCCCTCCTTCCCTGTCTTTGTCTGTAGGAACCTGAAGGAGCCTATGCAGCTTAGCGAATATTTACTGATGTTTGTGTAAAGCATCCTCTCTGCTGGGCACTGTATGTATTTGGTTTTTTGGGGGGGTGGGCAGTTAGTGTGGTTTGTACATCTGTGTCCATGTGTATTTGGTATGTGAGTGTGTGGCTTTGTGGTTTGAGAGTATGGCTGTATATGTGGGTGGTACATGAGTGTCTAGTGATGTATATGACTATATGTATGTGGTTGTATGTATGTGGTTGGGGTGTGTGTGTGATGTGAGAATGTATGGTTGTATATATGTGACTGTTGTGTGTGTGGTATGAGAGTATGGTTGAATGTGTTTGGTGGTGTGTATGGCTGTGTGTCATGTGGGAAGGTGGCTGTGTGTGTGTGTGTGTGTATGTCTGAGCCTGCATGTATGAGTATGTGTGTGTGTGTGGCTTAGTGTGGTGTAAGTTAGCACAGACTAAGAACAAACACAGCCCAGGCCCCCCAGTAGCTCTTGGAGGTCCAAGATGTTAACCCTTTTGTTGCTAGAGTATGGTGAGGTCTAGAGAGGTGTGGGTGGTAGAAATCTTAAGAGTCAAAGGTAGATCTTGTAAACAACTAGGAGAACCTCAACAATTAGAGGTTTTGTTAAGTTCATTTTGAAAGCAGGCAAATAGAGGTATACTTCTTTTTCTCCCCCCTCCCCCAGATGTATAGGTTTTTATGTTTAATCTTTTCAAAAAGATTAAGCATAAAAGGAGTTTTAGTTAATTTATAGTTAGGCAGAAAAGTTGAACTCATCCCAAAATAGAAGCTCCTTTACTTGCACATGAATTATAGTCTAGATTGTCATTTTTTTAGTGGTATTAAGAAGAGTGATATTATTCATATTGCACAAATATCACCTAATGGTGATAGACAAAGCTGGTGCCTTCTTTTTGTACTGGTGGGTAGCTTTAAATATCTGTGAAAGTTTGTCACTTGAAAGTTAGTAAAGGCATTCTATTCAAGTATTCCAGTTGATTGAGGTTATTTCTGATGGATGGTTCCATGGAGAAGGTGTATGCCCTTTTAAACAAAACAAAAGATTCCCTGTGGTCTGGCCTGACCCGAGGAATAAAGGTGTTGGCCATTTGTGTTCATTCCCAGGGTTCAGAGATGGGCAGTGAGAAGGAGCAGAGTCCAGAACCACACCTGCCTGAGGAAGGGGAAGGGGGTAAGCCTTGGAGAGTGGATGACTCAGAGGGTTCTTGTACCCCACCTGGGGAGAAGGAGCATGGGCAGGAGAGCCTGTTGGAGAGGACACAAGAAACCTATCCAAAAAAGCCATGGCAGAAAGTGACTTCCCCAGCTCAAGAACCAGAGGACCTCATTTTTCACCCAAGGCCTGAGGCAGAGGAGAAGCCCTTTGTATGTGCCCAGTGTGGCAAAACCTTCAATAACACCTCCAACCTGAGAACACACCAGCGGATCCATACTGGCGAGAAGCCATACAAGTGTTCTGAATGTGGCAAGAGCTTCTCAAGAAGCTCCAACCGCATCCGGCATGAGCGGATCCACTTGGAAGAGAAGCACTACAAGTGTCCCAAGTGTCAGGAGAGCTTTCGGCGGCGCTCAGACCTCACCACGCATCAGCAAGACCACCTGGGCAAGCGGCCGTACCGCTGCGACATCTGTGGCAAGAGCTTCACCCAGAGTGCCACGTTGGCTGTACATCACCGGACCCACCTGGAGCCGGCACCCTACATTTGCTGTGAGTGTGGCAAGAGCTTCAGCAACAGCTCCAGCTTTGGCGTGCACCACCGCACTCACACAGGGGAGAGGCCTTATGAGTGCGCCGAGTGTGGGCGGACCTTCAGTGACATATCCAACTTTGGAGCACACCAAAGGACCCACAGAGGGGAGAAGCCCTACCGGTGCACTCTGTGTGGGAAACACTTCTCCCGCAGCTCGAATCTCATCCGCCACCAGAAAACACACGTGGGTGAGCAGACTGGAAAAGATTCCAGCTGAAGTGGAGCCCCAGGTAGAGAGTGAGGGGGAGAGAGCAAGACACCCCAATCTAGTAGAGGAAGAAGATCTTTGGATTTGCTGCTGCCGCCTTGATCTCAAACTCTTCCATCCCACTTTAGAGAATGGTTTCCTGTTGCCTCTCAAGCCAGGATCTCCAGGAATTCCTAAGAAAGGACTCTAAGTGAAAATCCTTGCCTCTTCCAGGCCAATTTCTTGCCTTGGAAAGTCAGAGGACCCAGGTTTGGATTCACCTCTTTGGGATGAAAGAGAAGTAGGGTAGGCTTAGAACATGTTCATGTTGTTAGGGCAGCAGTGCCTGGCCTTTGAAGAAGTACCTGTGAGATGGGTGTCACTGCCTAAAATCCTCCAAATTGTCTATGAACTGCTTAGGGCACACTGCAGTGGCCAGTTAGTTCCCATCTGCTGTGCCCCGACTATGCTTCTAGATCTCTGGACTGGGAGGAGAAGGGGCCTCTTTGGTCTGGAGAAGAGATCTGAGGTCCTGCCTTAGGAATGAAAGGGAAGCCTTCAGGGAGCCATGATCCAGGGATCTTCACACTCCCCATATTTGTTACTTGTTTTCCCTCCCCCAGTCTGCCTCTGTTTCCCCCAGAGTGATTAGTAGTAAAACTCTTCTATGAAAAGGACCTGTGTACTTATTTGGGGAAAAAGGGGAGCTGGGAGATTGTCCTACTGCGGCCATTTTGAAAGGGAGTTGAACTTCAAGAAAGACAGATGGGTGGGTGGCCACTCTGAAAAGCAAAGGGAAGCAGGCTGAGTCTCTGGGGCCTTTGAGGAAAAGGGGGAAAAGAAAGGAACTATCATTAATTGAGCATCTTCTCCATGCTATTGACCAGTCACATTTACATTCTTTATCTCATTTAGTTGTCACAGCAATCCTCAAGAGAATAAGATGAGGAAACAGAAGTGAGGACAAGTGAAGTCACTTGCTCTGAATCACACAGCAGGTACAAGGTAGAGCCAGAGCTCATACTTGGTCTCCTTGACTCCCAGCCAGGGCTCTTTTTCACTACATTCACCTTGTTGGCTTCTGAAGGAAAAGCCACTTAGGAGGCTGGCCTGGAGGTGAGAGTAAGTGTAGTCTCTTGATATGATCTTGGGCCATTTGCTCTATGAGAATTCAGTACCAAGCATGAAGACCTTTCCAACTTTATTAATTGAACACTTATTCTGTGCCTGGGAAAAAGGGCAGTGGCAGGGAGTAGGGGATGAAGGGTGTGATAAAATGAGAGAAATCTTAAGACCCATAATGAGAGTCTTTAGTAGTCATCTTTAGTAGCAATAGTTTAGTCCCCTAGGCTGGCACAGCTTGGCCAGATCATGCCAGGCTTCCTTTCCTGGTTTTGGCCTGGCTACACATGGCAGATTTCAATGTTTGCTACGTGGAAGTTTAGTGTTTACTGGGCTTTCCTCTAACAAATACTTAAGGCCCCTTTCTACCTCTGTTGTCCATCTGGGGCCCTGCTCTTCCAGGGTAAGGGGCCCTTTTCATGTGTAGCTAGTTGGCACGATGTGATTCTGGCACCAGGCTTGGAACTGACACCACCCACGACCTTACCTAACAGATGGGGACCCTGCTGCTGTCCAGGAAGCAATGTGCCAGTAACTTTACACTCATCATCTTACTGAATTCTTGCAACAACCCTGTGAAGTAAGAATTATCTGCATTTGCCATATGTAGAAACAGCCTGGCAGAGAGAAAGTGACTGGGCCTAAGATTAAAGAGCAAGTAAATGGCAGGGCCAGGAAATCAACCTACTTGTGCCCAAATCTAAAGCCTGTATTTTTTACAATACATTAGTAGGGCACTTTACAAAGCTCTTTTATTTCATACACATTTTCCTGTTCCTTGAAAATCCCCCCACAGAATATTTTAAACATAGTCACCCAAACTTGCATGTGTGAATTGGTACATACCCTAATAATAAAAGTCCCCATCTTTCAAATACCTACTGAATGCCAGTTATTGTACACTATTATCTCCGATCTCCATACTATCTTGTAAGGTAGTAGCGTTCTTCCCATTTTCAAAGTAAGAAAATTCTGTGAGGTTAAATGACCTGACCTATTGGCAGAGCTGGGGTTTAGATTAGGTATATCTGATCTCAAGGCCAAGCTCTTCATTATACCCACTACCAAGCTAGGTCTATTGGTCCCCTCTTAGTCTGAGAGCTTGGTATGAGTATCCTTCCAGACCTGGAGTCTTAGCGATAACTGGTGTGACTATGGGAGTCTCTGCTGCCAAACAGGCCCAGGACCAATGTACCAGGCTCCTGCTTTGATCGTGGGACATGATCCCCAGCTAACCTAATTTGCCCTTTTTTGACCCTAATTCCTAGGCTAGGGTGTCCATTTTGATTCATGCTTTTGAGTCCTGACTAGTTATAACTCTCTGACTTCCTTTTTAAAATTCCTTTATTTGCTCTTACATTCCCTTTTTTCTCTCTCTTCCTTTCTTCCCCCTTCTACCAACCTTTCTTCCCTTCCTCTCCCTCTCTTCCTCCCTTTCTTCCTTGCCTAGTAACTAGGAATACTGATTTTGACGACAACGTGGCCCCTGTGTTCTCCAGTGTAGGAGATTGGCACATAACCCCAGTTACAATGCAGGACGATAGATGTCTTTACAGTTGTACCCAGGGTGCTGTAGAAGCCTGGTTGTGGGAGGGTGGGGCGCGGGGGAGACAGTAACCTGGCCTGTGCTGGACACTAGAGCCCAGAAGTGAATGAGAGATAGTCCTTTCTGCAAGGAATGCAGAGGAAGAGAAACTCCTTGGACAAATTGCTGGAGGAACACAGGTGGGAATGGCTAACTCTTCAGAGGAGAGGAGAGGCTGAAGGATGATTGAATTTGGTCTGAATGAGTAGGTGTTTACTAGACAAAGAAAAGGGGAAGGTTATTTCAGATGGAAGGGAAGCTTAGTGTGTTAGCAAACAGTGAAATGTTTGATACAGAGTGCCCTGTGTGAGGAGAAGAGGTGGTAAGGTACACAGGGGCCAACTTGTGAAGGGTGCTGCATGCCAGGCTAAGAAATTTTGATTGTGGACAATAGGGCATTTTAGAGCAGAGGAATGACATGATCATGTTCACCCTTTAGGAAAAACACGTATGCTAGCGTGGAGGATGAACTAAAGGGGGACAAGTGATGGGAACATGTTACATGTTTAAGCATCAAGTGTCGGTTGGAAACCTCCTGATCCATGGAGAGCTCTGTATGATTGCCTCAGAGTCTTGCCAGTTCCACAGAACAGGAAAGTCCAAACTCTGCACAATTTCTACAGATTCCTGGGATTTACGGCCTCATGGTTTCCTCTTGCCTAAGGTTCCTATGACCTGTACAACCCGTCCCTGTTTTGTCTCCTTTATCCCTGTGGCAGAACTCAGCTCCTTCATCAGCTTCCCCAAGAAATTCTGTCACATGAAGCATTTCATGAGTTTAGAATACCTTCTAGAGATTGGGTGTTTTAGGAAGGAGTTGTCGACATGAATTTTGGGGGGACACAAACATTTAGTCCATAACAAAGTCTTAAGATCAAGGTGCTGGAAAATTTGGTTTCTGATGAGGGTTCCCTTCCTGGCTTGTAGGTGGCTGCCTTCTCACTATGACGTCATCTGGCCTTTGCTCTGTGTGGCTGAAGGGAGAGAGAGACATCTTTGGTGTCTCTTCCTCTTATAAACACCAGGCCTATTGGATCATGGCCCCACCATTATGACTTAATTTAACCTTAATTATCTCCTTAAAGGCCTTATTTCCAAGTGCAGTCACATTGGGGGTTAGAGCTTCTCAAGGGACACAATTCCCCCTATCACGTGACTGTGACGTGTGTGTGTGTGTGTGTGTGTGTGTGTGTGTGTGTGTGTTTGATGTCTACCGGGTGGTCCTGGTGTCCTGAGCCCCTCCACAAACACAATGCTCAGTGCTGCCCCAAACTCGTGGTCTAGCCACACAAACACCCAGACTAGCAGCCCCTGACCACCAACGGCCTCTGCTGCCTCTCGGGTCTGGAAAGGAGGCTGCCTAGGTTGTGGGGTTGTCAGTGGCTGCTGCAGTGAGGGGGTTCCTGGGGGAACTCTCCCCTGGCTTGGAGACCCTCAATGTGCTGCTCAGTCATCAAGGCAGAAATGAGATTTAGGGCTGGGGCTGCAGAGTCCCTGAGATCAGGGGTTGGGGTAGCAGAGAGCAAGTTTTGAGGGGTCCAGTCTGAATAATCAGATGTTGGGTCACCAGAGGACAGAGACAGGACCCACGGTCTGAGGTAGAGAGCTGTGGAGGGGCAGGGCCTGTCCTTGGCAATCTCAGAATGGGCAGCTGGTAGCCTGGGGCCTACCACTGAGGCCCATGTAGCCCACGGGGTGCCCATCCTCTTGTTGCCCAGAGGAGGGTTGTTGGGGCTTCTTGGCCTGGCTTTAGCTTGTCATAGGGGAGGAAGGAAGCCACTGTGACAGTGGGGTGCTCAGAGTTGCACTTGGATATGCCTATGAGGTCCTAGGTCAGGGAGTGGGACCCTGGAAACCCGGAAATTCAGGACCAGGGCTGGTCCCTACAGGTGCGATGTAGACACCTGCCCTTCACTCTCTGTGGCCCGGGACCCAGACCCCCTCTCCAAACACAGCTGGCAGGAGTCCCTGGGCAGCCCTTCCCATGCCACTTTCCTCCCTGGCTCCTCCCTGCACCTCTGATGTCGATATTTCAACCATATTCTCACCTTCCTGGAGTCTCCCGGCTTCCTGGACCTAACCGCCCAAGGCCCCCCCTCTGAGTCCCAGGGTCTAGGACTCCCTGTGCTGAGTCCCCCAGAAGCAGCAGCAGGATCAAGTGACAGGGACTCTGGATTCCAGGGTCCTATCCCAGGAGTCTGAGGCCACTTAATACGTTGGTTGTGGCCTGGAGACCTCACCCTGCTGAGTGGCCTGAGTCCACTGTCACTCAGTAGGGTGGAAACATCTGTGTCAGCTTGGATCTTTGGAACACTTCAGATCCCGAGTCTGACATGGGAGGGGAGCGGCCCTTCTGTGCAGAGCCGGGTCCTGCTGCTCTGAGCCCAGGGAGACCTGGGCAGGTCCTGGCTGAGCCGGAGTTGGGGGCTCCTGTCTCTGTCCTCTCCCTGCGGCCACACGGTGTCGCCGCCACGCTGCTGCTCGGTTCCGCAGAGCCACCGGGAGGGTCCGGGCCGAGTCAGGAGGAAACGGGGACCCTGGGCTGGGCGGGCGAAGGCGCCCCTGAGCAGTCCTGCCCTGCACTGGGGTCGGAAGACAAGACAGCGCAGCAGCCTCATGCCGTCCCTGAGTTTCTTTTTGTTTCTTTCTCTCCCCTCACTTACCCTCCCCTCCTCCCTCCCTCCCTCCTTCTTTCCTTTCTTCCTTCCCTCTTTTGTTTCTTGACAGTCTCACTCTGTCACCCAGGCTGAAGTGCAGTGGCGTCATCAGAGCTCACAGCAACCTCAAACTCCTGGCTCAAGCAATCCTCCTGCCTCAGCCTCCCAAGTAGCTGGGACTATAAGAACCCGCTGCTGAGCACCCCCCCCCAATTTTTCTATTTTTAGTACAGACAGGTCTCACTTTTGCCCAGGCTGGTCTCGAACTCCTAGCCTCAAGTGATCCTCCTGCCTCAGCCTCCCAGAGTGC